CTGGCACCTATGCTGACAGTGAGGAGAACACCTTCTTTGTCTTTTTGGATTTTATTAGACAGAATAGAGAATGCGAAAACAGAACTGCAGTTTACCTGGCACCGTGTGCTCATCAGGAAAATAATTAAAAAAGTAAAGCAGGACAAACAGTAACGACACTCTCTCAGGGCAACCCAAGTTCCGCGCCAACAGAATCTAAACAACACGCCCACCTGTCATCCCTCTTATCTCCTCCCGCACCTGTTCCTCCCCCCATCCCACATTGGCCAGAACAGCGTGGCATTTTGCAGAAAACAGCAGTAACCAATACATGAACAGCCTTCAATAACATTGTCAAACCCATTCGCACACAACAAAACACATGAACATCAGCGGCCGGTCAGGGTCGCCACAATATATATTCAGACTTTCATTATATACATTCTCAAGTTTCAATCAATATATTCAGATTTTCATTATATATCTATATCTTATCTATATCTAACATTATATCTAGTGTTATCTATCTATGTAACTATTATCTATTTCTCTATGTAACTTACTATCTATCTATCTATTGATCTATCTATCTATCTACAGTGATTCTCCACTAAATACACAATCTGCTACAACACTACTAACTCTCAAAGCAACAAACCAACCTGCTCTGCAAAGACAAATTTAAATGAACTCCACTAAATAGGGGCATTGTATCTCTTGGCACAGCGCAGTACCACACATACAGCTGGGTTACACTAACGCTGAAGATCAGGGTTGTCTTTAATCCCAAAACATGGCTTGGAGTTTGTAGTCGCTTCCTGTTAAGCGCTGTGGGAGCTGACCAATCAGAGCAGACTGGGCTTTTAGGGAGGGGGCCAGGAGCACTGAGGAAACTAATGCGCTTTAGGAACGTACAAGGGTGTAAATGTTTTCTAATAGAACCTTTAAATAACAATATAAACCTGAAAATGAGCATCATTTGTGACCTTTAAATGTTTCAAGTAAATAACTGTAGTTCAGGCCAAAAATACTATTCAGGAGGCAAGATTTTGATAATGTTCCACAGCCAACATTAATGGGCATACATCTATAACACTCATTTTCTTTGTATATGAAGTCTGACAGCATTAAAAGCAGCTGGCAGGGTACTGTAACAGTTTCTAATAAAAATGACCAACAAGTTTGGACATTAAATTATACTGCTTTATTGAAGCCAAGAAAGCTAGCTGGATGGGATGTTTTGCTCCAAGAAAATAATTTTCTCAACTTGCAAACAAACAACAAAAAATCTTTACAGGCATGCATAAACATGTTTCTGCTTCCCAGGATACACACAGTCAGAATCTTTAAAAACTTGAGGGCACTGTGGGAACTGGCTCCTCAGAGAATTAATCTTTACACATCATACGACCTGAGTCTGCTGGGAGCACTTGAAATATAAGATGTCAAGAATGTTAATGGAGCCAGACCATAGTCTTTCAGTCTAACAGGTAAGATGTAAGAAGTGAGAGGTAAGACAATATGTAACATGCAGGACAAAATAATCATTCCGATATTTTGTGGAATATCACTTGATTTGCTAAACGTTTGTCTCCTTTCTTTTGTATAACTACATCAGTGAAGTGTTATTTATTTCATGACTCTTGTCTAATTTTACTTCCAGATTTCTTGGTTTTATTCCTCTCTAAGGGCTGTTTCTGTGTACAGGTGACAATGATATACACTAATATTACAACTATAAAAGACTTCATTATCACTGGATTCCCTGGACTTCCACCTGAGTATTATGGACTCGTGTCTGTTCCCTTTCTCCTCATTTTCCTGGCTATTGTCGTGGGAAATGCTTTCATTTTAGCCATTATTTCATATGAACAGTCTCTTCACAAACCAACATACTTGATTATTTTTCAGCTTGCAATGACAGACATCACATTTGGCATTGTGACTGTTCCAAAAATCATTGCCAGATATTGGTGGGATGACATGAAATCTTCCTTTGGAGCCTGCTTTACACAAATGTATTTTGTGCATTCTTTGGGAGCTATTAATTCTTCAATTTTGATGATTATGGCTTTAGATCGCTTTGTTGCCATAAAGCTTCCTTTCCGATATCCTGTTTTGATTACAAACAAAACAGTTTGTATTGCTGGTAGCCTGTGCTGCGCAGTGACATTTATACGCATGCTGGGGCTTGTGCTCCATGCATTAACTTTGCCTTACTGCAACCTAAATATCATCGCACAGTGTTACTGTGATCATATATCAATAACTCAATTAGGATGTGGTGAAAATGTTGTATATGTTAAATATGTTGCACTTGTAAATTCTATGCTCAGTCTCTTGGGTCCTTTAGTAGTCATCATTTTGTCTTACTTTTTTATTATCATAGCTGCTCTGAAAACGCCTCATACTGTGAGCCGTCACAAAGTCCTGTCCACCTGTGCACCTCAGATCTTTATTACCTGCCTTTATTATGTGCCGAGATGCTTTGTTTATCTTGCTAACAACTTGGGATTCAGCTTCAGAACTGATACTCGTATTATTATTACAGTGATATACAGCCTCATACCTTGTGCAGTTAATCCACTGATATACTGTCTCAAGACTAAGGACATTAAAGAGGTTTTGATGCGAAGATTTAGTAGAAAAGTAAGAATTTCAAATTGACTACAAATACAGCATTAAGTAACTTCATGGGTTGTAGGAAAACACATAGTATATGCTGTTTGTCATTTATTTATTTATGTATCTGGTACAATCCTAACAGACTTTTAATATTAATATAGTGCACATCATCATAGACTCTTAACTCCGGGACTAAAAAGTAAAAGTGAAATTTAAGGTCGACTAAAAATTTTGTATTCTTACATTTTAGATTCTCTATTTATTACCAGGCCCAAACTAAATTTGCGCCCACAGATTTTTGATGACAGTTCCACTACTCCCCCCCACCCCCTCCTTATTTTACATGGTGGTCAGTCAGTAGCCAACATCTAAAGAAATTGAACTTTCTTTATCAGTGGACACGTGTCCTTAAATTTATGGTTATTTTAGGTTGCTTTAATGCATTTTGTGCCTACCTTTGCTCAAAAAATAATGGTTGTTGGCTAAATGAATACTTTCTTGTACATTACAAGCAAAAAAAAATATATATATTTTTATTATAATAA